ACAAAACTTATGTCATTTTTTTGAAATTTGGTCGTTTTTTATTGTTTGTTACTTTTTAAAAATTTATATTACTTTCTTGAGTGACAAACATATGTTTTGATTGATGTTTTGTCATTTTTTTAGTGTTGTCACTTTTTTTTTTAATCTTTGTCACATTTTTATTATTATTTATTTTTTTCTAAATTTCTATAACTTTTTTGAGTTACAAATATCATTTCTTAATAAAAATGGCATTGCATGTCACTTTTTAATAAAATTATGACATTTAATTTTATACGGTATTATAAGGTTTAAATTCATATTCATATTTAAACTTTGAAAATATAAATACAAGTATGAATGAGAAAAATAAGATTTTCGGTCACTTCTTTTAAGAAGGTCACAATCAATTTCATTTGAATTTTTTTTTTTTTTTTTTGAATCAACCAAATAGTGATTTTTTTTGGATCAATGATATGTGTGTGTGTGTGTTTTATGCATAAAACATTAAAAATTCACACTACTTTTCTTTTTTTTTGTCACTTTCTTGAAATTTTTGTTACTTTTTTGAGTGGTAAGATCACTTTTTAATAATAAAAAAGTGACACTTAATTAAAAAAAGCGTCACTTTTTATTAGATTAAAAAAATTGATATTTTTTCCAACATTAATTTTACGAAGTATTTTTTTACTTTCAAATACTTTTCATATGATTTTTCATTTTGGGCCAAATTTGTGAAAGTGGGTAAACGATGGGAGTAATCGGTCAACCCCAATTCCCACTGGTTGAAATTAGTTCGCTTAGTATTCTACTAAAGAGTGCGTCATATTAATCGTATTTTAAAGGGTAACTTACAAAAATACATTAAAAATTAAGGGTCTTTTGAAAAATCATATGAAACATATTTTGGAAGTAAAAAATATTGTGTAAAATCAATTGTCACTTTTTTTAATAGAAAAAGTGACAGTAAAAAAAAAAGTGACACACTATCACTTTTTAAAGTTAAGTTATTAAAAAATGACATATAATGTCACTTTTATTAAAAAATGATGTTTGTCACTAAAAAGGTGATA